GCTGCATCACTCCTGGAGTACAGAAGAAAGTCGTTGTCGAGATGCCTGCGGATCACCCATTGTCAGGAGAACATACAGTGATAATGGAGGGTCCCGCCGACGCTATCCCAGCTCAATGTCGAGCCCTCGCCGAAGCCATTCTGTACAAAGACAAAGCATGCACGCTAGCCCCTTGCTCCTTTAACGGCGTGCATCAACCGTCTCTCGAAAAGACCTTTGCTAGGGAGGATGTTTACATCTTCTCGTACTTCTATGACCGCACGCACGACTTGGGTATGCCTGAATCATTTACTCTGCGCGAACTACAAGATCTGACCGCCAGAGTCTGCGGCGGAGAAGAATCGTGGGATGCGTTTGCCGGAATCGAGGGTGCCCTGGACGATCTCCGCGAGAGGCCCGAGTGGTGTTTGGATTTGAATTTTATGTCGGCGCTGTTGCACACAGGCTATGAAATGCCTATTGATAGAGAGGTTAAGATTGCAAAGAAGATCAAGGGCAACGAACTGGGATGGTGTTTGGGCGCGAGTTTGCCGCTGCTGGAGAAGGAGAGTGGTTGGCAGTGTCGCATCAAAGAGGTTACGTGACACCGCAAAGGTGCCATCATCCGGAGGCGCTTTGTGAGATTTCTAATATTGCTTGATGGTCTCGGGGATGGGTTCTACATGGTCTTGACCGGGATAGGTGCAACAGGACATGGTTCAGCATGATTATATTGCGTTATGGTGTAAGATTTGACGCCGTTTGCCTCTTCAATGTATACATAGACCGGGATCGAAAGCCCTGCCGCAAACTCGCTCATAGGGTCTAGAATGATACATAGAACTTTGACTTGCGTGCATGACGCAGAGTGATCGCTTCTTGTCGATGATTGTCACAGCTAGCGATCTATTCGCCTTCCTCTCCTCGAGTCGTCGTCTTCTATCTTCTGTCTAACAAGTGAATTCAAACACTCCGCCGCCGATGGTATGTCTAATGATCTCCCATAATTTCACTCAGCAGTCAAAACCCACCTTTGCCCAATAGTTGCTCCCCGACATCCTTCAATAGGGCCTCTCCTTTACAATCGTCCCTCTTGCCCAGCTCCTTCAAAACATCCCCGAGCTCCATCGCCCGACACAGGTCCCAAAGCATATCTCCAGCTGGAGCGGAGTAGAGGAGCATGCCCAGAGTGAGGAGAAGGGCGTGCAGGGTGTCTTTGACACTACCGCCGCCCGAAGGTGTCGGTTTTAGGACAGGAGTGAGTGTTGGCAAAGACGAGATGCTCTCCAACAAAGCGGCTGCGAGGTCGTCGCTCACTGCTCCCCCCTCTTCCGCGGTTGTCTCGGGGGACGGAGGTTGAGAGTTGTCTGCATGCATCCGCTCATTATGGGACCAGCTCGCAAGGTTATATACCAATGCGGCAGCCAAAGACCTCGAATTCAGATGTGGTGATAGCAGGCACTGTGCTGCAAGGTCTTCTATCTTCTGCTTCAGGTCGCCGCTGGTGGTAGGAGATGCAGAGGATTGAGTGCTGAAGGCGTGCTCCTGGAAGACATTTGAGGAGAACAAGTTACACGCAAGCTGGAGGGTGACAGATTGAACGTTGTATGGCGTGTTTGCGAAATCGCCTTGTGAGATATGGGCTGTACTGAAGAGAGTTGAGAGTGTGCGATGTTCGGGTTCAGTAGTCAGGAAACTTGCTGCGCGAGGATCGACCGCCGTCACGCGAACAAGGTCGATGGCTGCAAAGAGGCACTCTTTTGGGAGGCTTGGAACCATCAAGGCAATGTGTTCGCTGAAGGAGTGTAGATCCGGGAGTGCAGCTTCCGTCATACCCTTTGCGTCTCGCATTTTGATGTAGCTCACGAGGCTCTGTACCGATTTCTCATCAGAGAAAGCTTTGCCCAATTTCCAGAGCAGCTTATCGAGAGGCGGCATCTTTGTGTAGAGAATCGGTGTTTCAATAACACGTTGAAACGTCGGCAACCTCAACTTCGAGTGCTGATGGGGTTCGGGCTTTGCCATCTGCAGCAACAACTGGACATTGCCTCTTAATTGTGACGGGTTCGCACCTGCCCATTCATCCTGTTTCTGCCCCCTGAGGAATGTTACGAATGTCGGTGTCGCGCGAATACTATATCGTTGTGCGACTGCATGAGCAGAAGGCGACGCCGAAATATCAATCTTGATTAACTTTGCACCGGAACGCGTGCCCGCTTCAGCAGCCAAGTCATCATAGGTAGGATAAACGATCTTGCAAGGCGGGCATGTCGCTGAGGTGAAGAACAGCACGGCGCACGAGTGTGAAGCCGAGGAGAGCAGGGAATCCAACTCAGAAAGTGTGGTGATATTGTGAACCTTGCCCGGGCTATCTGCGGGCGGTTGTGCATTGATAATTGTAGGCGCCGTGAGTCTATGATAGGGTCCATTAGGTGACGCAGAGGCCAAAACACCGTTGCGATCAGTCTTCGAGGCCTTCTGCGCAGCCGAATGATTGTGGCCAACATTTTGACCTGCGACAGCATCGGGTGCCTGGGTCATGGTTCTCATCGACTCATCAACTTGGCTTCTCAACATCTGTCCAATCGGAGTATTCAAAAAGGTCTGTGGCAGGCTTCGAATCTCATCAGGGATACTCTTGCCGACCAGAAACATGGCGAGGTCTTGGGTGAAGTTGTTACAATTGTGCAAGAACAAGTCATACGACTCAGGCGTGTAGATTGATTCCAGCGACTCGATGTACTCGTCGATGACATCCAGGGGCAGTTGGGTCTGACCCAGACTCACGATCTTCATCGGTCGTCCATGGTGGGTTGAGCCAGGAACTTTCCGGTGCACGCCCTGGCCGAAGAAATACTCGACATTATTGAAGACGATTGCTGTGTGATAAATGGCGTCAATGTGAGTTCCTGTCAAGGCTTGAGAGAATTGGCGGGCGAGGCCCTTGATGCCCATTAGCTGGTGCTGGCGTTGTCTCCGTACGGGCAGGACATTACCTGTGACAGATCGTAGATGTACAGTTCGACCTCCATGCTGTGGGGGAGAAAAGATGGGACACGGCTATCACATCATGCAGACTGAAGACTGGTTTATGTGCACAAGGTACAGTCAAGGTATTTGTGGTGTTCGTGTGGTGTGTAGTTCATTGAAGGCGGCAAGAGATACGTAAGCCGCCGCTGGTGTTTGTGCCGCCGCAGCCTCGTCACCGCCACTCGAGTCAAGGCTGAAAATATGTGGCGTCACCAAAACACGCAACTTTTTCATCGTGGCGACGATGGATTCCATCCACCACCCTTCCCCTGTCTCAAGGCTGTTCGTCTAAACAACTACCTCGCTCTAGACTCGGCGCAGGCGGACGAAAATAGATCATTTGCATTTGACCGGCAGCTAATGGACTGTATTCCGCAGGACCTTGCTCTGCCGTGACAGTTCCCCATGCCTCCCCGCAAGACCCCAGCCAAAGGCAAGGCCGCTGTTAGGTCTAGCCGAGATGCAAATTCACCTGCTACGCCAAAAGGACGCCGGTCAAAGCTTGCAAAGGAGAATGATATCACGGCAGAAGAAGAGGCTAGGATCAAAGAAGCATGGAGCCTCTTTTCTCTAGGCGATGTCGACGGATACGAGGAAGAAAAGGAAGGCGTTATTCAGACGAATGATGTGCAACACGTCTTGAAGTAAGTCGGGAAAGATTCCATGTTGCATTCTATATCTGACTGCCTTCTCCTCTGTCAGAGCACAAGGCCTAGCTCCGAGTAGTAAATCACAGATGCAAGAATTCATCGAAACACTTGACCCTGAATCGGAAGGCTACGTGACGTACCCGCATTTCCTGGCCTTGTGTGCCATTCAACTGAAATCCAAGACGGATGAGACCAAAGCAGAAGAAGTTGAGACAGCCTTTAATCTCTTCCATCCTGGTCAAGGCGCCGGCGTACAAGAGCAGGTGATTCGACTACAGGACTTGCGGGCTGTGGCGAAAACGTTGAACGAGCAAGTTGATGACGACGTATTGAAAGCCATGATACTGGAGGCGAACGGAGGCAAGGGTGTCGGTAGGGGCGTGAACATGGACGAATTCCAGGCTATTATGACCCGGGCAGGTGTTTTTCAATGACCTTGGACCAGGGGCTACGTAGATATGATTGACATCAGACTGTATAACAAGCGATGAGAGATCGAAACAACAATGTGTCCACATAAAATCAGACCACAACCCATGACGGGTCGCGACAGTAGAGATGTGTGGAAGCCTCGCGACCAGATAGACATTCGTCTTCTAGCCGTGATTCGAGACCTGGTACTTTTCTAGCTTCCCTGTCCACACTGGCTCGCTTTGGGGTAAAATAAAACGGCCAGCTCTAGCATAGATAGAAGCGATCAAGATCAGAATGCGTCTAACAAAGCTCGAAACCTGATGTTTATTGCGCGGAGCTCTGGTGAAGGACACCATGCTTGACACACTTCAATCGCATAATGCTCGAAGTCTTCAACATTGGTCTGAGAGGGTCAGGCGGCGGGGGTTTCTAAGAAGGGTTTCATTGTGCTGTGGAGGTCGCGCAACAAAGGAAGGGAAGAGCAGAAATTGAAGGTGCAGAATTTATTTATTTTGGAGTTTTGTGTCTCCCATTTTCGGCGCCGAGAATTTGGGGGCGGAATCGCTCCATTGACAGCGGATTCTGGCTCGCGAGCCACAACTATCTGCTTCCGATATATAGGTATTGCCTGACACAAGAATACAGCAGACATCATGAACAATCACGTACATCCCATCGATAATGTAGTTGAAAAGATGCCCATTCACTGCGAAGGTAGCCGATCGGGCAAAAGCGACATGTCACCAAGTGATGCAAGATTTCACTCCACCCAAAGGACAGCCTTGAAGAAATTCCCTCCTTGACGGGTATAAAAGAGGAAGAGAAAAGCATAGTGCGAGAACAAACGCACACCGGAAAACCCCCCCTAGATGGAAGATCGGATCAGGACGCGTTGATTCAAGCACCTTGATTTCCTGTTCTCGAATCATGCGTTCGCTCAGGCCTTTCCCTTACCTGTCAGCAACACTCTCCTTGCTCATTGCTCAGATCGCGTTATGTCAGATTCGCGGTCCTCGATTCCGCTTTGACAACCAGGGCAACGGCAACGTCAACCAGGAGGATTTGCCCGAAACCCCCGAACAGCGACAGAATGACCTTCATTGGGGGTTCCATGAAGCCCTAATGCTCGCGAGACTGGTCGCGGTCACCTTCAACCCTTGCGAACCTGTGAGGGAAATGAATCTGCGCTTCGTGATGACGATCACATGCCAGGCTGACATGGTAATCCAGGTGTACCTCCGCTATTTCAAACCAGAGGAAGCCATCTTTGTCAGGAACGCGTTCTACACCATCGCCAACATCCCGCTCGATGACCCTCCTCCAGATCCGACCGATATCAACCAATTCATCTCTGGCATCGGGCAGAACCAAGTCAACCCCAAGTTCGACCTCTTGACAATATCCATCAATGACAACAGCGCCATTGGTAGATACGATCCAATGTGTTCAGTCATGCCAGGCTTTCAGGCATACTTTGAGCAGCGGATTGACGAGCTGGGGCCACCAGCCTTCATGTCCGTCTGCGATTACTCCTTCAGTCACCCATCACTCGCCGACATTGAAAATCCGCCAGCCTGGGCAAGAGATCCCACTGGAGCTCCCGAACCCGGGTATGGTTGTGACAATCTGCTTGATCATGACAACGGCTACATGATAAGCCTCAGCGGGATTATGCTGCATGAGCTCTTCCACTGGACCTACCTCTTCGAGGACATTCCACAGTTTGAGGACTTTATTGCCTTGGACGAGGAACTCATACGCGTGATCGATGACTGGAAGGGTCCGTTCCCGCCGGATGGTTATGGTCCCTTTCACGCCATGCTGGTCAACACCCTCCCCATGCAACCTCTCGTGGCGTTCCCATCCACCAACAATGCCGATAATTATGTCTACTACGCGCTATCGAAGTGGTGGTCGTTCAAGTGCCAACGGGCCTTTGGTCCCACAGTCGATGAAGACGACGGCTATCGACGCGATTACCCACGTTATTAAGCAGGGCAGCCCGAGACTATCACGAGAAAGTCCTTTTTGTGGGACGAATTCGCCAAGTGCATACATGTCAGTGCTGCTCGAGGTCGAGTCATGCACGAGAGTTCTGGTGCCCAATTGATCTATGCCGATGGCTAGCTAGTCGAGTCCCCCAAGGCGACTAGCATTGCATTTCTGGGACCGCGGTTATCGCTTATGGATAACGTTCAGCCAAAAGACAATTGATCGATCTTGGTCCGGGCTATCTTTCGCAGATGGGGACAAATCATCTTCAATCCCTTCACAACCACGTAAATGGAGGATATGTAATGCACAAAAACCCAAGGACATAGTATTGTGTCTTGGTCCCAATGCATTTTCCCACCTTGCCAATTACCCAGTCTAGTCTAAGAACTAACTTGCCATATTCCTTTTTCCCTTTCCCTTTTTCCATAAATTCGTCCTGTAGCTAGCCATCATCAGTGTGCTTACTAAATTCCTTCTCTTCCAACATTATATCGAGGACAGGTAACCCTGACCACGAGGGCATGCCACTGCCATGCTCGGTGTTTAAGATGCATTTACTTTCCGCCTGTATTCTCCACGGCGAAAGCTTTGACCCACAGACACGAGCAAGAGGTGAGGGTCGAAGTTATCGATGTGTTGCAGCAACACCAGTCAGGTTTGCTCCTGGTGAACCCAGACGACACGTCCATTCCACTCGTCAAGAGAACGGTGGGACATGAGATGCTTGTGGCCCTGCAAGACCAGAGGAAGCTCTGTCGAACCCTGTTAGGTCAAACAATGTCCAGCGAATCCATCTTCCATATCTCAACATGTTGCACGTCTTTCTCCTCGATTCTCCTCACCCGCCGCCGATACACAGTTTCTTCCTTGGGCCCGTCGACTTCTCGCGCATCCTCTCCCGGATCGACTTCTCGTCGAACAATGTCCTCTACCACTCCACCAATTTCCCAAACTTTGCTCTCTAGCCCGATGTACCTCAGTTTTTGAAAATCCGGTTGCTCAAGTCCACCCAATCTACTATGCTCGGTCAAAGCCTCGCTTATCTTCTGCTCGAGCATAGAATCTGGGAGACACACAAACTTGTCGTGCGCTTCTCTAATTTTCCTGCCATCCTCTCCACCCAGTGCGCAGTCCGGTGAATACGAAGGTGTAAGCACACGGATGGCCCATAGTTCACTCAGGAATGGCACTAATAAGCGCAGCATCTCGATCTGGGAGTCCTCGGCACATTCGATGGCGGCGGCGAGCTGTGTTAAATTGGGGCACGAGCGGATGAGACGGGCGGTTATTGAGGTCGGGAGAGGCCAACGGCCAGGTAAAATCAGGTGTTGAAGGGTAGGACCGCATATGGTGCAGATATTGGTGATGTATAGGTCCCTCAAGGAGGTTGTGGCTGAATAGGAAGCGGGCGGGCCGGGTGTATTCCTAGCAGAGGCATTTCCGTTGACAATTGATCCAGACCAAGGGGAGTGCTCAGAAGAAGGAGACGCAGAATCCAAAGCGCCGACACCGTTGCTGCGGCCTTGACCGTTACATTTTGCCACTGTGTCGTTTGATTTGCTTGGTCTATACCTTGCATTGACGAGGTATAACCTCTCCAGTCCAACAAACTGGGCCAAATCCATCGCATGTCTCTTATGCAATTGATCTAGCCTCAGAGATTTGGGTCTCGGCTGATGTTCCTTGCTGTTCACCATCACATGCCATGTGCGATCCATGAAATGAGTTGTGCTTTCCCTCCCCGCTATAAGGGCATCCTCATCCGCCCCGAATGTATTCAACACTGTCACATCCTCAACGGTGCTCGTATCGAATGCAGCGAGGCACTCTACCGTGTCCGCGTTGGCGAGAAGGTTATACAGGCCCATCTTACGCAAACGAAGTTTTCGTTTTGCGGCAGCATTTTTCCGAAAGAAATGCGTAAGCACAACAGACGGCTCCCCTTGCTCACGCATACGAGGGGAGAAGTGCATGATTAGGCTCGAGAGACGTGTTGCGTGGAGGAGCAGGGTGGCAATGTCGTCGGGAAAACATAGAGGGTCGTAGTGTGTTATTGTCAAGGACTTGAGATTTGGTAAAGGTGGGATATCGTAAGACGGTTGGGGAGAGCGATTCGTAGGGAAACGGACCCAAAGTTCTTCGAGTCGAGAGAGCTTCGCCAGCCCACCATACATGTTTGGTTGTATCCTGACGTCCAAATCCCATCGGAACCGTTCGAGATGGGTACATTTGTCAATTGCAGCCCGTAGGGCGATGTTCAGCATCATAATACTCTCAGAAACACGACCAGCTCTTGAATATTCGTAAAGATCGGAGGCACTATATTCCCCCTCCAAGCTCAGTGAGCGAACCAAACTCGACACATTTCTCGTTACCAAGGCATTGAGTCCCATAGAGAAAGGACTTGCACTCCCAAATCCCTCGGGTACCTCGTCCTTATAGCGGATAGTGCGGTATGATTTCAGTGTGACGTTTCTCCATAGATGCGGGAGCGTCATGTACCAAAGGACGCGTGAGGTGCGACATAGTCGCGCAAGGGAAGCGACATCGTCTTCCAGGTAGGAGATGATATGGGCAACTGTGGTGAGAGGGAGCGTGTCGACACCGAATGCGCCTTGTACTTCGGGACCATTGCTATACAGATGATTGTCGCGCGAAGTCATGCTGTAACATCATTGAGAAAAGAAGCAACGATTGAGATGGTCAACACATGTCCCTAGTTCGAGTGGCATGCGCAGTCTTGGTGTACTCTCAGTAAACGATTATTATGTAGGAGGCACTATCAGGCAGAACATTTTGGAGCCAATCGTCATATCTGCTGATCACCCACTCTGTGATCCGCAGCAAAAATTTACTACGTCGGTGCATATAGCACCTACTTTTGTATACCAAGTATACCCAGTCGCCGGGTAAAGAAGAAATGCACAGCCTCGTGCTTGCCCTTCTACCTGTTTGTTTCACCATGGGTGAAGTGAGAAAATTAAATAGTGTATGTCACATACGCGCAGTCATTGCAACCAACTAAATGGGTTGCGTCGTCGTGCCACCAGTGTCTCTTCCATCAGCATCCTGAGTCGTCTCTGTTTGCGAAGCACGCTCCTCCTCATCGTGGGCCTGATTCGCTGTGACTATCACCAACGAGGAGTTCTCAGCAGTGGCATCATGAGTAGATGATTCCATGTCGACATGTCGAGGCTCATCGGGGGTTTCAGCCATCTGTTCTTGCGCTTGGGGCATAGAGGGCTCCGGCTGGTGTGATCTGGGTCCTGAGGGGTCACTGTACACCTCGTCGGCTGTGTCCTCTGCGATTGGCGTGATGGTTGAGGGTCGGACGTATGCTGCAGACCTTGGCAAAGCTGCACTGAAAGGATCAGCCATCCGGCTAGCTCTGGCCTCTGACTCGGAGATAGTGAGTGAGCCTCGAGGAAAGTAAATTTGCGGAGGAACTCGCTGAACCTCAACGAGACTCTCCGAAGGGTTGGGAGGAAATGCGGCGCCATCAGAGCGTTGAGGCCCTGGAGTGATGCGAGAGCGGATATGTGCCTCAGCTGGAATCCAGGTTCGACCCTCTAAGGGTCCGGAGACGTCCACCACCTGGGCCGAGTCATGCGCGCTCGAGTTTCCTGCAGGATTGCCTGGCCGCTGTCTCGAGGCATCTGCGGTTTCTCTGCGGGTAGAATTGTCGTCTGTTGACCGCTCACGAATATCGTCTGGGGACCATGTCCTACCATTACTCTTTGGCGCTGGAATGACTGTGACTGGCAAAGCCGATGCGAGTACATTTCCTCGACTAGCAAGCCGCTCTCTTTGCGCAGTAGCAAATGCCCCAACTCGATCTCTTAAATTGAGGGTGCGGTCGATTGGTGACCGCCGCACGCCAGTCGCATTCTGAGCGTCGGCGACTTCCGCTGGAGGATCAGATCGCCGTCGCTTAAAGGGGTTCGGCATTGCCTGCCAAATGCTGCGTCCCTGAGGCTCTGGTGCTCTGGGAAGTACTGTTTCCAAAGCGAGTTCCTTGTCCGCATCAGAGGGAGAAGACCCAGAGTCGCCAGACACTTTGGAAGCATCAAGAGTGGTAGACTGTTCAGGGTGGGTCCGCAAATCAGCTTGTGGGTTTGGCGATGGACTCGTCAAGTTGTGATATCGTACGGCATAGACCGTGCTCGCAGCGCTTCCTGTGTCACTCCTGCTGGGGGGCGTTATAACCTGTGGAGGAATAACGTATTGTGATACCCCAACGGCTTGACCAATTGCATCAGTTGCATCCGTACCAGTGGCGATGCCGTCTGCAGGAAGTCTCTTCCGCCTCCTTCGCAGCGGCAGCCGGGCACGAAGGCGCTGATACCGGGAGACCATGCCTTCCGCCATCCCCTTACGCCCATTGCCATCTTGATAAGGCCTCGAATCATCCCCGCGCCAGCTTGCGTCCTCCGAAGGTGTCATATTAAGCATCTCGTCGCCGTCAAAGATCTCCCGTCCAAGTATCCCATCCTTCCTTTCATCTCGCTCCAACGACTCGATTCGCTCGACCCATTCCCAAACAACGACACTTGCGGCTGCAGCACCCACCCACCGAATATATTCACCCCATCCTGCCAAATCCGGTTGCGATATGTCCAGAATGAAAAAGACGACCGGGATCACAACCGAGACCAGCGACAGAAGTGCCACCAAGCAGATATTTTTCATCTTCGGGTGCCAGAATGCGAACCGCCTTTTCGATAGACAATAATACACTACACAAGAAGCGTAGATCAGCGAAATCGCCAGTTCGAACAAATAATTCAGGGCGGGAATAGCGTCTGAAAAGCTCCTCGGCCTGGTCCTTGGGTTGCCACTGACAAAAGAATCCAAAATACTGAAAATTGTGTCGAAGGATACCATGGCGAACCCGAGCCATTTGATGGTGACTTTTTCTTTATGCCGCGGAAACAGGCGTATCAGCGTCTGCACCTGTGCCAGCCAGAGGAACGTGTCTGAGATGACTCGGATGATGCGAATTTCCAAACTATCCACCACATTGTCAACCAACAGGCTGGAGTCGATATATCCCTCGTTGTATTGCTCCTCTGCAACGTGGAATGTGTCTGCTGTGGCAATTGTCAGAGAAATTGCCACTGTGACGGCTGCAATCTTTTGTAGTAATGGTCTCCGTCCAACGCCGACGATAGAGGACGATCCGTATGACCCTGTTATCATGCCACGCCGACCCAGAAAGCGGGCGCCGCCTCCTCCCGGACTTCCAACATAGAACGTCCTCGGGGTGATGAAAATGAGGATGACGAGAATATAGCTGATTACGGTCGCGGTGGCAAGGGCGAATATCTGGGGTGATATCGAGGCATAGAACGGGTTGGAGAAGCCAATAACTGACGAGTTGCCTGTGGTATCGGGGCTGATGATGGATTCGGGGTTTTCGCAGGGGAGTTTGAAGGTGACTTTAGCCGAGAGAGTAGTTGTTGTATCGTCATTGAAGATAAAGATGCCTGTCTTCTGCATCAGCGACTGGTCTCACATATATGCAGGACTCTGTAGTTATTACACACCTCCACTGGGTAGAATTAAAGGCGTGCACCAAGAATCAGTCACTGTCCGACTAGTGTGGGTGGTGCTCGACTGGCCCCATAGTTGGCGAGCACTGATGGAAGCATCAGTGGACATGCCGCGACTACCGTTGCAGTAGTTGTAAATCGCCAACAAACAACGCCGTTTTCCACATTGTCGATGCACCGAGACTCGGAAGGGGCTTGCAACGCTGCGGACGCGCCACGGGTTTTGGTCATGCGAGCATGACCAAGATGATGCAGTTGGATTCAAGTACAATTTCGGAGAGGTTGACGGTGGTGTTCAAATAAGGTATTTGCAAATGATGTTCGAACATAGGCATACAAGCAGACATATCATGAGGGAGACACAGGTGGGCAGAACTGTGATCAGCGGAAGCAGGTTGGCGAGGAATCATGCAAAGTTCGAAGATGGCGCAGCGGACAGTGGCGGGGCCGTCTTTGCTCTTTCCTCTTGTGCGCTCCGGGGGCCCTTGCACCTGACAAAGGCCCACAACAAGCTAATTTGAGGCTAAAAAGTTAGATCTAACGACCTTCTCGCCATACCTACTTTGAGCAGCTGCCCGAGAAATGGGGGAAATAACTCGCTAGGATTCTACCTCGATCATCCAGAGCGAGAAGAGGTACAGTCTGACGAGAAATAGTAACGAGGAGGAATTCACCAGTGTCTTAAGTGTAACCTCATTAGGCATAATGGTATCTCTATCCTTATTAATACCATTAATTATCTTATCGCTATTTAGTGACTAGCTGGATTCTAAGAGGGTGTCTACTTCTGTCAGACTCTGCCGCTTTTCCTTTTCCAGAGGCTCCCTGTGAAGAGGCGCCAAGCTCATTCCCGTCTTCTACCAACTCATTGCATCTCGTTGGGTAGAGTGGCAACCTTGCCTCCAGTGTAGTAAACTCCTTGATGCTGGGTAACCTCAACAGGTGCCATCCCTATGACCTCCCCACTTTTGAGCGCTTCCAGGTTGAGGCGGGGCCCAGTGTAGTTCTTCCGGCCGTCGACATACCACTGGACGACGGAAACGACCAATACAATTGCAAAGGCCGCAACACAGTAGTTCATGTTACTGCCTGTTACAGGTGTAAACGGAGGAAACATGAACAACACAGTTGTGATCAGCGTATAGGCAATTCCCACCTCGTTGCCGTCAGCATAAACCTCCCCAATGGTATCTCGGGACCCCAAGCGGCAAAACTTACCAAGTTGCAAATCCAGCCAACAGACTTTGGCAGAATAAACCCTCGAGTTTCCGGAAGGGCCTTTCGGCCTTGCAGGCAGTTGATAGTGGGAGGAATGGCATAGGTAACCCCCAGCGCAACTACGGAGGCTGATATGATAGCATTATAGGCGCTTGACGAGCCGAGGAAAATCAATCCAAAGACTGTGACAAGAACGGCTGTGAGTATGAGAGCGTTCAGTGGGACGGCTAGCCCTTTGTGGACTTTGGCTAGATGCCGTGACGCTGGAAGACCTCCGTCTCGAGCGAATGCGTAAACCATTCGGCTGCTCGTGGTCATGATGGCGATTCCGGCAAACTTTGGAAAAGGAGAATAGGTTAGCGTGGGATACTTGACTCGGAATCCGTGGACCCATGTGCTGAACCACTTACTAGCAAACAAATGAGTGGGAACATAAGCAAGCAAATGGCGCCTGCTTTGTTGCCTGTTGCATCATAGAATATCTGCAGCATTGGGCCGGCAGCGGAAGTAATCACTGTATCGAGGTCTTTCGAGACGAAGAGTAGGATCGAGAGGTAGATGAAGCCAGTTATGACACCAATTAGAACGCAACCCATCATGATTCGCGGTGCCTGAACAACAGCATCTCCGAGCTCTTCTACGCAGTGAGCTACGTTCTTATTAGCTTTGTATCCTTAAATTTTGGCCATAGACATTATTTAACATACCGACAGCATCATATGCAGTGAGGCCGAAGCTCCCCTGCAGAAGGCCCAGTAGCCAAGCAAGGCCATTCGGCCAGCCTGTTTCATTGATGAAGGTGCCGTAGACAAGGTGGCCGCTTTGATAATTTGGTGATGCGCACGCGAGAACAGTGATCGAAATCACAACCCAACCAAGAAGAGACCAGATTAATGCTGATTGAGTGATCAGTGGAAGGAGCCTTGTCATGAAAGCGTTGACCAGAAAGGCGACAATGTTGTACCCGAGATAGATGAGGAATTGATGCCAACGCTGAGGTTCAAAAGACGGGTCCATCAGCGAGATAATGCCCAGGATAAGGGAGCTCCCAAGAAGACCTGCGGCAGCGGACAAGGCGACCCAGCCGGCGGTGTTAATCCAGCCAGTAATCCAGGAAAGGAGCGGCACCCATCGTTTCCAACTTATCACCGCGACCCAATGGTATTGACCTCCGGCGGTCGGATAAGCGGACACGAACTCACTCAAGGACGCCGCCAGACACAAGTTGCAAATGCCAGCGACCACCAGACCCCAAATAACGGCGGAAGGACCGCCACTGGGAAGTGCCAATGACATGCTTGCGCCTAGAGCTGTCCATGAGTTCAAGATAGAGAAAGCAAGTCCCAAGCCCGACAAGAATGAGAAGCTTCGATGCAGCTCTTGCTTCACACCTAATCTTTCGAGCGTTGCATCGTCATTCTGGACGGCAATCGTGTGCTGCTGGGATTTCGTTCCTGATTTGACGCTCAATCGTCTCGTAGCCATTGCACCTTGGTTTGTTTGGCAACCACGCAGCTGAATTCGGTGACACAACGTCTGTGAAAACCAGAAACTGGTCGAGAAGGCATCGAGAGATATAAGGAGAAGCAGCTTGCATGCGCCACCCGACTATTTTGGCGCGATTGAATAATAGAAATTGAATCCATGGGTCTGGATTGCATGATCAGGAGCTGGAGGGTCTCATGAACATGAGAATTGGCTTTAAGTTTTCTGGTCTCGTATAGACGCAATATAGACCAATGCTGTCGCCATTTGCCGAGCAGAGAAAGAATCCTTAGTTCAAGGCCAGCGGACGTCCCAAGCAACCAGACTTCGTTCCACTCCAACAGTTGCCATTGGCTTTCAGCCTGCTAGCTTTCTCCTGTCGGACAACTGGTGTGGACTGCCATGTGGCAATCAAAGAGTTCGAATCACGCAGCGTCTCTTCTCCCTGTGTTGGTTTCGAGCCATTTAGGTCAAGTAACGGTCGAAGTCGTCTTTTGCGGACTTAATTTTGCTGTCGGAATATTTTCCGCGGGTGTTGTCGCGCCGCTAACGCTCTCCCATAATTGTCAAAGAACGCGGTAATCTATGTCTACCAAATCCGACCACCAGTCAAGGATTCTAAGTCAAGTAAAAAATACTGCATCAGTCGGTATACTATCTGTGGTCTGCTAATCCTGCTAATGAAGCATAAAGACTTAAGTGGGAGATGCTTGTGAGTGGGTGATTTAGCGTTCTAACTCGCTCCGCTAGAAGTTTCAAGTCCGGAAGGTCCAGACTACTTGTCGGTTCGGAGATACACATCTCACCTCCTCGCTACCATCTCGGTCGTAGGGCACGGCGCCTCTACACTTCGGGGCTATACGCACCCAATTATGCAACCTTGAATCCTCTTGAGTCAGCCTAGACACTGGTAAAAAATGACGGAAGACAGGACGACAGCCCTTAAAAAATGTCCCTTCCTCCGACAGATATGAAATTTATTGGCAAAGGCAATCGACTTGGGTCGTGCCAACATGGCAATATTCCAAGATGAAGATGTCGAGGCAATCAAACTGCTCGAACAGCCATGGGCATCGGAGAAAGTGCTTGAAGTAAGGACCGGTAGGGTAAGACCTGTCTTCGGCATCCAGGTGCAGTCTGCTATTTTCAAGAACGTCCGACCAGGTCCTGTTACGGTCAATAAGTTGGGATGTGAGGGTGATCAACACGCCTTCGAGCTCCATGGCGGCCCGGAAATGGCCCTGCTGCAATACAGCACGCTCCATTATCGTCGATGGAAAGAAGAGCTCCCTGAGAGCGCACATCTGTTTATCCCCGGCGGATTTGGGGAAAACCTCGTCGCAAAGTATGCCAATGAACGAAATCTCTGTATCGGCGATGTCATCCAGATTGGCACCGTTGTTGCGCAGGTCTCGCTGCCGCGTCAACCATGCTTCAAGTTGAACCACCGATTCCAGATCAAGGATATGTCCAAGCGCTCCCAGGACCTCTTTCGGACCGGATGGATGTATCGAATTCTGGAAGAAGGCACAGTGCAAGCTGGAGATGACATGGTACTTCTCCGACGACCGCATCCCGAATGGACCATTGCCAAAGTTCAATACTACCTCTATCACGATATGCGGAACGAGACGGCCATGAAGCAATTGATTGAAATCGAGGAGCTAGGAGCAGAGATCCGTACCATCTTCGAGAATCGCCTCAAGAAGCAGTATGAGAACCAGGAGGGACGGCTCACGGGCGGCGATAGCATGGCAATGGACATTTGGTCTAGCTACAGACTTGTCAAGAAACAAAAGGAGACCCCGCGGATTGTTTCCTTGACACTGGAGCGCACCGACCCCCTATCGGAGACCCAGGATGTTAAGCCAGGGTCGCATGTGCGAGTGAAGCTGGGCCACCAAAAGCTGGTTAGGGCGTATTCCGTCGTTGCAGGCGACACGAATAGTTTCGAGGTCGCCGTCGCCCTCAGCGAGACTAGCCGTGGAGCATCACGCTTTGTGCACCAGGACCTGAACCTGGGCGATACCTTATGGTTCGGGAAGATCACACCGAGCTTGCCGCTTTCCAGTGACGCCGGTGAGCATGTCTTCGTCGCCGGCGGCATTGGCCTAACCGCATTCATTGCCTCCGCAAACCGCTGCCAACGCGACAAATTGCCCTACCATCTACACTATCTGGTTCGAAGCTCGTGCGACCTGGCTCTGAAGAGATATCTCAAATCATTTGGATCCAACGTTACCATCTACGACAAGTCCGCCGGAAAGGTGTTCAATGCCGCCACGGTGGTGGGAAAAGCGAGGAGCAACACGCATATCTACTGCTGCGGCTCGGATCGACTCCAAAACGCCGTTACCGAAGCGGCGCATTCGATGGGTGTCTGTTCCAGTCATCTTCACTTCGAATCCTTCGAGATTGCGACTTCGGGGGATCCATTCATGGCCGAACTGGCTGATTCGGGGAAGACGTTGTCTGTAGACGGAGAGAAAACTCTGCTCGATGCTCTGCGAGAGGCGGGATTGGATATTTCATCCTCCTGCGAGGCCGGCAATTGTGGCACTTGTCGCGTCGGTGTCAGAAGTGGCAAAGTTGAGCACCGAGGGACCGGGTTGATGGACGATGAAAAGAGTTCAGCTATGCTAAGTTGTGTGTCCCGAGGCATTGGCACCATTGTGCTCGATCTCTAGTGAAAGAAGAGGAGAAATCCTCAGGACCCTGCCGGTATAGGGTGTTTTGAGGTATAGACTGCCATTGATTAAACGAGTGTTTCTTCAAAGAATCAAGATTAGCCCGCGCAAAGCTGGATCCAGACCGAAGATCCTAGACAAGACCTTAGGGCGGACATGGGAAACTTGAGAAAGTCATTGATAGACACATACACAGAGCTCCCTCATGAGAACCGCTTCGTGACCCACCCCCTGATGGCTTTGGCCACCTCTCCAGGCTGTTCCATCGCACACCAATGACCAGATTCGATCTCGGTCATTTCAAAGTCTGGCAAATATCCCCCCTCTCTCGAGATGTGAATCAGATCAGTCCGGCCTACGGTGTCTCCCGTGCATCCGATGAAGAAGAAAGGCACGTTGACGACATGGTTCTCCTTGGGAATACTTTTGTCGTCATCTCCCTGGACATTGAGCACGTACGCCTTATACCAATTCGTTGGGGCCAGGAAGCCATCCTTGGTAAAGCGCTGCATGAAATCGTCCTTCCACTTGGGCTCTGTTGCATATGGCTTCAACGCGACCCGCTCGTTGCCCGACATGTAATTCGTCATCGCGTCTTCGCCGGCGAACATTTTCTTCATCCAGTCGGGATCGGCGCCATGCAACACTTCCCAGAATCTTTCGAGATTGCTGTTGATGATTTTGTAGCCATCGGGAGAGGTGAAGAAATACCAGTACTGGTAAAGAGGATATCCAAAGCGCTCCTTGGTGATGGCATTAAAACCGTCAAGGTCGAATTTCTCAGCCAACGGAGGTCGGTAAGAGATATTACACAAGATCACCCCAGACACAAGTTGCGGATAGCGATTGTAGAACCTCTGGGCCAGTATGGCTCCCCAATCGTGACCAATAACGATGACCCTCTTGATGTCCTCGGCCTCCAGAATTTCGGCAAGGTCAGCGCACTGGCCAGACCATTTGTACATAGAGACATCACTAGGTTTGGAAGTACCCGCATAGCCCAAACAGTCTGGAACGATCACCCTGAATGGCAGGTCTGAGAGCCGATCAATGACTTCCGACCACATCAGAGCGCTATCGGGGAAGCCATGGATGAAGAACAAGGCTGGCTTGGAGGAATCAGCTTGGCTCTCAGGCGAGACATAGTATGTGTAAGTGAGTGATCTTTTAGTTTCGATTGTCTTCTTCTCAAGGGCAGCCATCGCTAGCAGGTGTGCAAAAAGTCTGCTTCGAATCTGTGAGAAGTTGAAGTGCTTTATCAGGGATGGTAAAAAGGAAGAGTCACTCGGTATAGCTTGATGAATGAAAGTCGGACTCTGAACAGAAGTAATAGGCCTCACTTCTTTGTCTGCCCTGCTCCCGAATGTCAGCTGAAAACTTGCTGAGGGATAAGCGGCATTGTCATGGAGGGACAACTATGGAGCAAATGGGATCAGGCAAAGATGTGCTGGTACATCAGCACCTCATTTGACAATTTGTGATCAGGCCTGATGATGCCGAGTATCCCGTCCTGAAATAGTGCGGATCATGGTGCACTCAGCATCTTGCCTCATTCCGTTTCAGCACCAATTGTGCACTCAGTGTAATCCCTAGATACCAGTGGTAGAAAGAGGAGAGAAGCTGAAGCCTAATTATAATGTCTTTGCTGTCTTGATGAGTATAGACTGCAGAGCTACACATTGAAATCTTGGAAAGCCCGGAATCAATCCCCAAAGTGCCAAGTCCAAAGCTCCACACCAAACCTGGCACCAACTCACCGAGTCTTCGCGTGTGTCCTAGACACAATTGTGCCCTTCTTTTAGCTGCGACACGGCAACTCTCGGAGACAAATTTCAATGCCTTCAACGTCTTTTCCTATCCGACCGACTGACAGCGAGTCTTGCACGCGCTGCGGGCAGACCAAAGTCGGCCTGTTGATTGGGTGAATTACTACTGTGGCGCGCAATATGAGTGTCTGAAAGCCTGAAGAACTGCCATGAACGGATACACACATGGCGACACCGATCCCTCCGAAAAAGATAAACCTACGCCCTTCCCCAAAATCGAGGACGAGGTTAATCATAGCGGACAAGAGCGAGACTTTCGAGAGACCAACAAGTTGAAGAAGCGCAACGATGGGGCGCCAGGTCACAAGAGATCCGTCTCCGGAAACCTCCTCTCACGTTTGAGCTTCCTCCGTACAAACAGCGACCAGGACAAGACGGATAGTGCTGATCGAGATGGACCAGATCTTTCCCTTCGGGGGCGAGGTGTCATGGCAGAAGCACAAGCCCAGAGCAAAAGGAAGAGAAAGGGATCACTAAGGAAAACGGTGTTGGGAAAAGGGAGGGACAGAAAGACCTCCGATGTCAAAAAGTCACCTCTCTCTGGTGCAAACTCCCCTTTGGGGCAGCCTGCAGATGAAGAGCTAGAAGCGCCGCCCACCCCTCGTGCCAGACAGGAGCAATCAAAGTCAAGCCCGGTGTCGCCGGAGTCTCCCCCATCATGGCCATTTCGCACATTATCACGGGTCTCGATACCCTCAATCCGCAGCAGTATCGCTTCTGTTGACCCGGCCTCTTCTGCCGCGTCAATTATCAGTCCCAACTTGGCTACTACTGATGCCTCAACAGACGACGAAGACCTCGTATTGCCAAGTATTCCTGCTCTGCGCAAGCCCTCATCGACGTCCTCGTTTGGGACCGACTCTTATTTCCCCATTCAAGATCCTATGCGTCGGATGTTTGGCTCACGCACTCGCTCGCCGCTTGCTACACAACCGCAGTCTATCGCTGGGACGCCCCCCGATGAAGATTTCTGGGATTACTCCGAGACGGCATTTTGGGGTTACGTGATCTTGTTCGTGACGTGGATTGTATTCGTCGTGGGTATGGGGTCGTGCTTCGGGGTGTGGTCTTGGGCCTGGGATGTGGGAGAAACACCATACGCGCCGCCGGAGCTGGAGGATGACCCTACTCTACCTATCGTTGGGTACTACCCTGCACTGATGGTCTTGACGTGTATCATGGCTTGGGTCTGGGTGGTAGTAGCTTGGGTCGGCATGAAATATTTCAGACATGCCGATTTCAGAGGGGACGACGGATAATGCCCCGAAACACCGAGGAAAGGGACGAATATGAGATTGACTATCAGAGTTACCATGGTCGAACAATCTGTAAATGGTGTCAACTCCCAAAGCACCTTGCTCGCTCCCACCGCTTGTCCCCCAATCGTAATCATTCTGCGCCTTGATCCCACTTTTTGTCCAAAAACCCTGAGTGTTTTTCATTTCCACAATACATTCCTGCGCCTAAAGAGCACATCTTCACTTCCTTATCAAGTGAGGTCGGGCTTGTAAATCATGATGCCTAAACCGATAGTTGATCCATCTGCCCATTGGTTTCGCTACATTTTTGGGGCTGCAATTTCGCCATCTTTTCGCGGAATACATCCAGATCTTCTTTCGCGATATATTCTCCAGTGGCATTTTCGACCCCAGCGCCCGCAACTGGGGTTGCAGCCATCGGAGTGGGTGTTGCAGTTCCCCCCCCGGGTGCTTTTGACACTAGACCTTTGGACCTAGCAAAACCTGTCGAGCGCTCTGTCGAGGGATCTGGGTCATAGTATTCATCTTTGATGGGCCGTACATACACCGTCTGTTTACAGATTGTAACAATCGTGTTCGTGGGGACGGATAGCCAGTTGTGTCTCTCGAAGGTGAGGGGCTCGCTGGCGACGAGGACCACATCGGAAGCTTTGTCTCTCCTCTCCATCTTGAATTGCCCTTTGATCTTTCCTTCAACCCAAGCAGTTCCAGACGAGTAGTACAGACTTGCAGCGGCGTCGGTTTTGCTGCTGACATATCTAGTGACAATGACAGAGTGGCCGTCTGTAACGGCAAAATTGAGTAGGCTTCTAGTCTCCACATCTGAGACTTTGTATTCGGGAGGGACGGCCTTGACGAACGTATTGATTTGGGCAATGGTTTTCTTCATGGCCCGTCGCAGAGTCTTGGTGTCGAAACCACCCTTGGGCTCGGAGCTTGGATCGACCCCCTCACGCTCCAAGGTATCGAGGAATAATGCAAACGCCCATTCCGAATCAGTGCCGCCTTTCACACCAAGGAACCATTTGTCCGAAAGACTGTCAGCTAGTGGGCGTTTCACGTACTTCCAGGCCCCGATATTACCGTTGTGCATCCACATCAACGTGTTGTGCTGGAAAGGGTGGCAATTGTTTTCGGCCAACGACCCCTCGGTGGTGGCCCTGACATGGGCAAAGATCAGCCTCGAGGCCGTCTTCGGCGCAAGACGTTCGAGATTCACGCAGTTCCATGCCGGTAAAGTCGATGTAAAAACACATGGATCTGGACCCAACTCTGGCTCCGTATACCACCCAACCCCAAAGCCATCCCCATTGACCGGGCGACGGCTATCCAGGCGGAGGCGACTGTCATAAGATTGCGTGAGAATGCTGTGCGATGGTTCAGTGATCAACTTGGAAAGTATGATCGGCTCAGAGCCCTTGTACACCTGGAACCCTGTGAGTAGGAATGTAAGCATAAACAAGGGTCAAATGCGTACAAGAAATCTGCACATCTTCAAACAGGTAAAATTTGAAAATCAACCCAATTTTGGTGTGAGGTTGGTTGTTGAGTCATATACTCGACCAGGCGCATTATATTTCTCTGCACGGAGGCAAAAGGTATCAGCAGTCCAAGCATCAAATGACCCCGATCCAACAAACGCCAGGACCCCGGTGTATATGGAAAGGAGACAGGCAGAAGCACAGATATTGCTGTTTTTCAAGAGGACATGGTGACACATGCGGGTTTGATGTTGGTTGTCCCAAACTTCACCGCCAGGTGCCGCCATGCTTGGTGCAGGGGGCAAGAGATCACGAAATTGTGGCGAACTCATATGTGGCTGGGCGGCCATAAGTGTGGCTGCGATTTTGTACCGAGACTACGGAGTAGGCAGCACCAGGGCGAGCCACAGAGCGCATCTTCTCCCACGTCATTCGGCATTCTCGTGTTTTGTTGCCCCAACGTACTACCTAGTACCTAACGAGTAGTATCATGTATCAGTTGACACCACTTCCACAACTTTTTCTTTAATTCAACTTTCATCAACCTTCATGTTCGACCTGACCTGGGATGAGCGGTAGACTCCTCTCTGCGAGGGTCGCGCCTCTATTGCGCCAGCGAGGCGTCTCTGCACGCCTCCTTCACCACAGTTATGCTGCCACAAGACCCGGGGCCTTGTTGAGGCCAAATGTCCGTCTCCCTCTGCGAGCATGGCCGATCGGGTCCAGTTCAATACACAATGTCCCCGCCGTCCGATCCATCTCCTTTGCTAGGATTCTTCCAAAGCTCGCCCTGAAAATGGCTCGCATCCCTGCCATGTTTGGAGCGAGCATCCTTGCCGGCCTAGCTTACATCCAATACCAAGCCGCCCAGGCCGGAACCTATACCTTGAACGTCCTGAAAAAAGCCGGAGAAGCGGTCTCGGAGACGTCCTCAAATATGTTCGAGGGTGCCAAGGGGATTGTCGATCAAATAGGAGTCGGTTGGGAGCGCACAAAAGAAGAGGCACATCTACCGGAATGGCTCCAGCAATTTTTTGAAAAGGGGGAGGAGTCTGGCAACAGCGAGTCTGAACCACAACCGCCCAAGCCGAGCAAGTCCGCCGCCGGAGCTGCTGCTGCTTCGGCTGCAGCAATAGTACTGGAACAATCGAGTGAGGATGACGAGCGAGCCGCTGCGGAGATGGCACGAGATGATCAAATGATGGTTCTGACGAGAAAGATGATTGAGATCCGAAGCATTCTCAATACGATCGGCCAGGGAGGCGCACTGACGCTACCATCTATTGTGGTTATCGGTTCACAATCATCCGGGAAAAGCTCGGTGCTCGAGGCGATCGTCGGGCATGAATTCCTACCAAAAGGCTCTAATATGGTCACCAGGCGCCCGATCGAACTCACGCTGGTAAACACACCGGATGCAAAAGCAGAGTATGGCGAGTTCCCCACTCTCGGAATGGGCAAAATCACGGATTTTACACAAATACAAAAGATTCTCACCGACCTCAATCTCGCTGTTCCCCCGGAGCAGTGTGTTACGGACGACCCTATTCAGTTGTCAATCTACTCTCCTAATGTTCCAGACCTATCCCTGATTGATCTGCCGGGTTATATCCAAGTATCGGGCAAAGATCAGCCTTCCGAGCTGAAGCAGAAGATCTCCGACTTATGCGATAAATACATCCAGCCGCCCAATGTTATCCTAGCCATCTCCGCCGCGGACGTGGACTTGGCTAATTCAACTGCCCTAAGGGCAAGTCGGAGAGTTGACCCTCGGGGTGAGAGAACGATCGGCGTCATCACGAAAATGGATCTGGTTGACCCTCGCCGAGGCGTTGAAATTTTGTCGGATCGAAAATATCCTCTGAGGCTAGGTTATGTTGGCGTGGTATGTAAGATACCACAGTCAGCGGGGCTTTTCTCTCGATCGGGCGCCAATGTGACAAATGCCATCATCAAAAATGAACATGCATACTTCTCATCACATCCGTTACAGTTTGGTCCACAATCAGAACTCGCTGTGGGTACTACCACGTTACGGCACAAGCTCATGCACGTTCTTGAGCAAACAATGGCGGCGAGCCTTGCTGGCACGAGAGATGCTATCGTACAAGAGCTGGAAGAGGCAACCTATGAGTTCAAAGTACAATATAACGATAGGCCGCTCAGTGCTGAGTCGTACTTGGCCGAAAGCTTGGACAGCTTCAAGCATTCATTCAAGGAATTTAGCGAGCGTTTTGGCAGGCCTCAAGTTAGAGCCTTGTTGAAAGATGTTCTTGACCAGAAGGTGATGGATGTGCTGGCCAAAAGATACTGGAACAAGCCCGTGGAGGATCTATCCCCGGTTCAGCCCGAAGCAGATTCATTATCAGAACTGCCCAAGGCTGATCCCCATTCGTTATATTGGCAGCGCAAACTGGACGCTTCGACATCGGAGCTTACCAAACTTGGCGTTGGGAGACTGGCAACTACTGTGGTGGCTGCGGAACTACAAAGCCATGTCGACAAGTTGATCGCCGCCTCAACGTTTGCTTCACATCCATACGCTCAACGTTCCATTGTTGATGCATCATCCAGCATATTGAATGATCGATTCTACAGTACAAGCGATCAGGTCGAAAATTGTATCAAGCCATTCAAATTTGAGATCGAAGTCGAGCCGAATGAGTGGAATAAAGGACGAGAAAACGTGGGTCACGTACTGAAGAACGAACTTAAAGCTTGTGAAGCTGCGCAAAGACAATTGGAAGACAACGTTGGCAAAAAAAAACTTAAAGATGTGATGGGATTCATCGACCGAGTGAGGAAGGGAGACATCGTCCTCGAGGGCGATGGAGCCGGTGGCGCTGGTGGGTTTTCAGCAGCTCTCCTTCAAAAGGGTATGTCAACATCTTCAACCGTTACAGGTATGTCAGGCTAACTATTATACAAAGGTCGCGAAGCCGTTTTCCTCCGTGACCGTGCCGATATCCTCAAGATGCGCCTAATGGCGGTCAAGTCCAAGCAATGTGCCAATCTCAAAAACAAATACTATTGCCCCGAGATCTTCCTGGACGTCGTCGCCGACAAGCTGACGTCTACAGCGGTGCTCTTCCTCAATGTTGAACTCCTTTCCGAATTCTACTACAATTTCCCCCGCGAGTTAGATCTGAGGCTTGGTCGTCATCTGGAACCCAACGAGATTGAACAATTTGCAAGAGAAGACCCCAAGATCAGAAGACATCTCGATGTCATCAAGCGGAAGGAGATGTTGGAGTTGGTGTTAGAGAAGATCGAGAGTCTGAGGCAGCTAGAGGGTCGGACGAAGACGCAGCAGGCGAAGGCGTCACAGACCAAGGAGAGAGGGCGGTGGAGCCTGTTTTGATGAACAAACTTGTTGATGATACCACCATTTGTAGCGTGTGTTCCTCCGGAGTTGTGTGTGGATAGAAATGACATGTGGACATGCCTCTCTCGCCATGGTTCGTATGTTCCTGCACTGCGCCTTCGTAGCGCGTTATTTTTCTTCTTTGGCTATCTTAGAGGTCCTGTCCTTGTTGTTCGAGGGTCCGTAAATGGATTTCTGACTTGGGTGCCCGAGTTCCAGGGTATTTCTCCGTCCACCTCTTCAATTGCACCATTGATGCCGCCCAGTTTGTCGCCGATCTTAATGACACTGAACCTGATCATTCGTGGATCAAGACTCAAAAATCGCCGGACATCCTGCTGGGCCTTGACCGACGCGTCAAACTGCATCACGAAGTAATGGCCCTGCCGATGTTGAGTTTGATGTTTCGTGGTCGGTCGGGGGAGGTCGAACTGGCCCCAGTTCTTCATGCCGCGTATCACACCGCTGGAGGCCAGAATCTGTTGACCGGCGACGCGGGCGATTCTGTGCGCAGAGTCAAAGTGAGTTAGTGAGTGATTCCACTTGTGCAAAGAAGCTGGGAGAGCAAGCGTACTCTTTGACATGATTGAGGTTGCCCGGCCGGACCTGTTATAAGTCAGCTGAATCTTGTCTTCGAATTCGAGGAGCACAAAGCTCAAGGTACTTACCACAGCTATCAGCTCGTACAGCATTTTCAATGAGGCCGAAATGTCACCTCTTGAGAGTATACGAGGGTAATTGTTAGATTTACTTGGAATTGAGAATTTCCCTGGGAGATCTCCACTTTCACCGGCGCATTTTGACGGCGGGTTTGTCTCCGATCGCAAGATCTTTATCGATTGCATTTGCGGAGCTCACAACAGCGCCCTTTTAAATATTCGCGTCTTTCCACTTCATTTTCCGCGTCAAGACAAACATACAATGGTTTCCCCTACACTAGGTCGGCTCATGCCGGCAGTCTCGAAATTGGTCACGAAAGGAGTGGTGGTCCCGCGGTCATCAGTCAAGTCTCACCTAGGTCGATCGACCTACCTTTCTACCAGATCATTTTCTGCGAGACCCGCCCGTGCGTCACCACTCTCTCAATTTGAGCTTTACTAACTCTAGTTTGCTTACAGTATGCGTGAAGAAATACACTGAAGATCATGAATGGATAGAGCTCGACAGCGACGGCAAGACAGGTATGTTTCCCCAGCGCAATCTTCACCATTTCAAAGCTTTGGTCTCTGTGGGCAATCGCAGGATGCTTACAGTCCAGCGCAGGAACCATAGGCATCACCGAGTACGCAGCTAAGGCCCTGGGAGATGTCGTCTATGTTGAGCTTCCCGAACTCGGCATGGAAGTGACCAAAGGCGACACGATCGGCGCAGTCGAGTCTGTCAAGTCTGCCTCCGACATCATGACGCCTGTGTCGGGCAAGATTTCCGATCATAACAAGGTGCTGGAAGAGAAGCCAGGAACGATCAACAAAAGCCCCGAGTCTGAGGGTTGGCTGGCGAAGATTGAAGTGAGTGACCTGAATGAGCTCGACAATCTCATGAGCAAAGAGGACTACGATAAATTTGAGAAAGAATGAGACGGGTCAATTATATCAGAACAAAATAACAATGGGCTTTCTTGAAATTGGGCCGGTTTCAGGTACATAAGGGGAATATCCATCGGCAGTGGTCCTTGCAGCTTACTTGCTCACTGATCTTGTTCTCCTTGTTGCCCATGCAACCCACTGACGCTGGTATCTTCGATGCTGTGACGATGTCTCTCGGGATGTATGTCAAAATCAGCCTCATGTGCATCGTCACTATCAGCTTCACCAAGAAACGCGGCGTTCGTCGCATCCAGGCCTTCCTGCTTGTCCCCCTCAGCCGCTCTTCGTGCCTCAAAGCCGTCATCACTGTCGGCCTCACCAAGGAACGCAGCATTGTTTGCATCCAGGGGCGGATTGTTATCTCCCTCTATAGTCTTGCGCACTTCAAAGTGATCATCCGAGTCTGCTTCGCCCAGGAATGCCGAATTTTCAGCTTCGAGGGCGGGTTGTGGTGCCCCGTGGGCCTCTCGCACGGCGTCGTGCCCTTCATTGCTGTCAGCTTCACCCAGGAAGGCCGCGTGCGTGTTCTCTGGAAACACCTCGGCTTCAGGGGGTACGGTGCCCGGGGTTGGTGTCTGGCTATTGAGCGGAATCGACTCAGAAGGACTCAATGTGGCAGCCGTGGGTCTGAGGTTTGCTGTAGATAGCTGAAACGCTCGTCTGGTTGCACCTCGGATGGGAAGGCTCAGGGCCCTTGGCCGAGCTGCTGAAGCGAGGCCAAGTAGTAGCGGTCGTGCTGCCATCGTCGCAACCGAGAACATTACTGGTCAATTTCACCTGGAGTTGCAGTCCAGAAGCTCGAAGAGATATGCAAAAGAGAAGGGAACGGACACGACAGGTCAGCTCTCAAAAAACACCCTTGCATGACGAAAGAGGGGTTGAGGTGTGGCCGGGCGTCGTCAATCACCTGATGGCAAAAGCAGCGCGTTCTGGAGCTGCACGCCCTGGCCATCATTTCGCAAATCGTATGCTGAGGTGAGTTTGGTGAGCGGTTGACGAAGCACGACTCAAGTTTCATAATGGCAAATCATGCATGAGCGCTGAGCATGATTTGCGGGGAAGCTTTCAAACGAGGGACGATCGAAGATGGTGCTCCTTAAGCGAAGTCCAATCAGTCGACACTCCGTGATATCCGAGCTTGGAAAACGTCAATACGCAGGATTTCGATCTGTATCTATTGCTTGAATCTCGCTGCACAAAAAAGGGTATGTATCCTCTCACTGGAGACCTCGACGTGCCTTGTTCCCTTAGTGACCGTTTTTCAGGGCATCAGCATTCCCGGAGTCGGAACCGTTGATTTCATCACTTAACCGGATGACATACTTGCCCGAAGTCTGTTTTCGATCGATCAAAGATATATTCATCAAAGCTATGTCCCAGAGAAAGAGGGGGAGAGGAAGAATGAGGATGCTGCTCACCTTTCCAAAGTTCTTCGCAATATCGGACAGATCGTCCAAGGTGGCCATTTCCACTGCTGGCTTCACGGCGCCCCGTTGCACGAATTCGATTGCCTCCCAGATGTCCTTTCTGGTTCCCACAGCAGAGCCGATGATCTTCACGCCTTTGGAAATACCCAGAATAGGATGAAAGTTTACCAGTTGATCCTCCGGCGGTATTCCCACGCAGACAAGTGTCCCGTAGGGAGCCACCAGTTCCAGTGCCGCCTGGTACGCTCTCCCCGAGTTCGCCATGACCAAAACTGCCGCAGCACCGTCTCCTGTGAGTGCCATGACCGTTGCCGTGTCGAGTTCTTTGGCATCATAGTACACTTCGGCGCCCAGCTTCAGACAGTACTCCTTTTTGGCATCTCCGACGTCAATCGCGATAACCCGGTATCCCATGGCCTTCGCATATTGAATTCCCAAAGCCCCAACACCACCTCCAGCACCTGAGATGACCATCCATCGGCCTGGGACTGCCTCACTGACCTTGATGGCTTTGTACGCCGTCACCCCGCCACATAGAATCGGTGCAACGAGATCGTCAGGGACGTCCTCCGGGATCCGAATTACATACCGCGACGGGACAACGGCGAAATCTGCAAAAGTACCGTCTCTTCTCAAGCCAGAGCACAACTTTGCCAAACAACGTCCCTCGCCGCCTGGGGATAAGCAGCAGAAGCATTCTTCGCACACGTCCCGCACCCATCCTAAACCAACCCGAGCACCAACATTGACAAAGGACGGATTCACTGCAGATCCAAGCTTCACAACTCGTCCAACGCCCTCATGTCCGAGAATGTCGCAAGTTGGGCCCGAGTGGCCCTCTGCAAGATGAAAATCCGAGCCACACACTCCTGATACCGACAAGCGAACTAGCAAATCGGTAGGACTGATCTCGGGGACCGGCATGGTTTTGGTTTCAAAGTGGTATGTCCCATCGTGCCTCTATCCACCCGTGAGTGCTTCTGAGCAGTAAGCGGTCATTGCGCATCCTTACCACCAGAATGGAGACTTTGTGAGTAGACGGAATTGTCATTTTTCGCTTCGGTCACCCTGCGCCTTGTTTGCGATCGTCCTTACTTCTCCTGACTGGAATGCTGCTTTTGAGCTGCTTGAAGAATCGAAACAACGATATCTGAAGAGAAAATTTTCCTAGATGTCCGACGTCGGCCAAGTCTACTTATCTCTTCTCATGTACTCGGCACTTCATGCCGTATATGAATTGCAAACTGTCTAGTCCCCGGCAGTTGTTTGAGCCTCGACCTCGATCCGGTGTCACCCCGTAATTCCAGCCAGATGCTGACCTGTGGGGGTGAAGGGGGGGTTTCTGTGGGGCTGTTCGGCTCTTGGGGTTTTGTTCTATTCTGCCTCGTCCTCATCCGAAGGAATGACTATCTTCTTGCCCTCACATCCCTTTGTCGGCATGCTCAGCTTCGAACACGAGTCATCCCTATTTGGCTCTACTGTCGACAAGAGCTCGCTGATCAAATAGCCAACAAGATGGACCCAGATTGCCGTTTCTGGTGAAGCGACTCACCTGCGTTACTCTCTCGACGAGACACAAGGACTCTCGAGCACCATATCATCAAGAGTGGCCGGTGTCAGCTCCTGCGATGCTTCAATACAGTTCTTGGTAGATGTCCGCTCAAAGTCCGCGAACAACCCCTTCTCCGACCTACTACACGCACAAAGTGTTGGAGGAAAGGTAGGAGGTTGTTTCACGGTAAACTCTAGGCAGATCAAACGACATGTCGATGCTTCGGTACGACCACGAAAGAACGCAGTGGCACTTTGACAGTCGCCAGTTCTTTCTCGATCACCTAAGAGAACAGAGAATCCCTCTCTGTGCGACGCCATCGATGCCGGCAATCTAAAGGGAGCACAGAAAACGAAGATCAAAAACTGCATTTTTGATTCAGCCACAGGCTTTGCGGTTCATCGCGGACTGGAATAAGTCGATCCGTATAGATTGCAGTTATGCTGTCTTTATTTCTTCCTGCTTCATTTGACCATCGACTTGCTTGAGCTCATTGATGATTTCCTTCCTTCGAGCTTTATCTGCCGCCGCAGCTCTATCTCCAAACACCCGGTCCATATCCTCAAGGCTGCGCCCTTTTGTTTCTGGCACACAGAACCAAGTCCATATCCCACCCAGGGCGCAAAAGACAGCGAAGAATGTGTACGCTCCGAATCCCCGAGTATTTTGGATCAGAGGTGGTGTGATTAAGCCGATAATTAAGTTATTGAGCCAGTTACTGCAGGTGCTCCATGCCACACCTTTCGCTCGCAAGAAACTTGGGAAGATTTCCGATGGCATAGCCCACGGCACAGGTCCCCATGTCATGCCAAAGGCCAACATATAGAGGAAAAGGAAAGCAACGGCCACCCAACCTTTGTCTTTATGATCATCCCAGCTTTCAAAGTATAAACCCACGAGGACTGCGATGATGACATGGGAAATGGTCATGATGACACTTCCCAACAGCAGAAGCGGCCGCCGTCCGAAGCGATCCATGGTGTACAGAGATGTCGAAACTCCAACAAGCTGCGTGACATTCAGTATACCCGAGAGAACAAGCCGCATGTTGTAATCGACATTCATGCTCTCAAACAAGCTGGGTGAGTAATAGATCAGGGCATTGATGCCAACAAACTGCTGGACTG